TGTGTGTGTGTGTGTGTGTGTGTGTGTGTGTGTGTGTGTGTGTGTGTGTCTCTGTATAGTGTAGTGGAGATGAAACATTAGGTTTTACTTTTTGTGTTGTTTAGTTTCATATGCCATGGCATTGCAGATGGAAATGAGCTAATAACTTAATCTCTTCTCTCTTTTGAGATTAATGTGTTTTTGTACATTGTCCCTGATGTAAATAAAGTTGATTAATCAAACTTGATTTGACTCCATTGTGAACATTCTGCTGAAAATCCTGTCTGTCTGAGTTCAAGTTCCATTATTACTGGACAAGAGCTTTTCATGAGCACACGCCCTTAAGTGCCAAAAAAGGAGTGACAGCTGTTGAGCAGGCCCACTGAGCAGAGAAATAGCACTCATTCAGACTGAAATCGCAAAAAGTACGTTGATCACAGCTATTTTGCTTGCTTTACCTGAATGTGGCCTGTAACAGTTGTTTATCTATTCGACTAGAAACAGCTAAGAGAGCTAGTGGAACGTATGTGTGGTGGACAATTATTTTACCCGCTGTTGAGTCTTTTTAAGCTGAAATATAGAATGTCGTTAAACAGAACTTGTCTTTTAAAAGTATTTATTCTTGCAAGAAGAGGCACAGTTTCACAGAGTCTATACAGTGTGCGCTACAAAGATGAAGTTACACAAAGTTATATCGAGAGTGAGCAAGGGTGGGGGTCTGCGTACTCGAACATCTTGAAATGTGTGCAGGCAGCTGCTACACAAATCACACATGTTTCCACGATGCAAGATTATGATCGCTTGTTTCAAAACAAGTTATAAAACAGTTTACTTATAAGAATATAAAATACTTATGAGAATATAATATTTCCATTACCCAACAGCAAGATACATTTGAGCACCTATGTTAAACACAAAGGATGAAGATGTACTGAGCTCAGCAAAAGTACAAGCGCTTAGGAATTTACACAGTATATTAAGATATACTAAGTAGAAATTTACCATTGGCAGTAGCAAAACCGGCCTTCTTATCACTATAAGGAGGGCCCCCAAAGTAAATCTTATTTCGGGCCCCATGCTGTTTAGAATGTAGTAAGCAGTATGCAGTTCATACAGATTGAGTATGTAGTAGGAACACAGCTTGTAATCTATAACACAGGCATTGTGCAGAAAGTTGAGGAACTCTGGTAGCACAATTGAATCTGACTAAGAGAGTATGTTTTGGCTCTGGTCCAGTTGAAGTTCATCCAATGATTGTGCAAGTCCTGTTATTCTCAGTATGGCTCCATTAGACATGTTTTCGAGTCCACTGCATTCTCAACAGACCTCTTTGGACTTCTGCCCCAGATCGAGCGTAGGAGGGGTTTGAAGTCTGTCAAATCTTTAGCAGACTTTGGTTAGTTTCCCACTCATCCAGTGTGTGCTGAACTGTAAAGACTTCATTGGTTTTTTTGATATCTTTAACACCGAGAACTTGCATTGCTGCAGCAATGACGACGTTTGATGACCTGCTGGAGGAGGCCGGCACCTTCGGACGCTGTCAGCAGCGCATCGTCGCCCTGCTCTGTCTGGTGTCATTGCCTTTTGCAGGTGTGTACGTCGGCACCGTCTTCCAGGGTTTCACCCCGGATCACTGGTGTCGGGACCCCGCGGTGGTGGAGAGGAGGCAGGCGTGCGGCTGGAGCCTGGCGGAGAGTCGCAGGCTGACGGTGCCTCTGGTCAACAGCTCCGGGGTGCTGCAGCAGAGCAGCTGTGAGCAGTATGAGGTGGACTGGAACGCCACAGAGCTCGCCTGCGATACACAGGAACTGGACCTCAGTGAGGTCCCAGTTACCGGGTGCAAGGTGAGACCTCTGAGATTGATCTAAATCTGGAGAGGTATTTGGTTCTGCAGCAGCAATCATAGAGAGCTTGCATGTGATTTAGTGGATGGTTTGGAGATGACATCTCAAAAACTAAATATATTAAAATGAGTAGCCTATTATTAGTTAAAATGATGAGCATGATCACATCTCCCTGATTTAATTTAAGGGATTCATTGGAAACGGTTAGGGGAATAGTTTGACATTTTGGAAAAAAACAAATTTAAGATCAAAATCCCTCTCATGTCTGGAAACATCTAGCCCGGCTTTGTCCAAAGGTAAAAAAAAGGCAGTTGACCCGCAGGAGGTTGTTTTTTTAAATTAACCCGCAGGCTGTTTGACCACACCAGGTTAAATACAGTATGTACAAAGGCAAAAATGTGCCTATATACACAGGTCTATGTGTGCCAGACTATTTATTGGATGTGAGCAGTTTTTCTCCACAGACTGAACAAACCGTGAGATTAGCAGGTGCTAATAGGGGGAGTTTGTAATCATAGGACAGAGACAGTTTCCAGTCTCAGATTCATATTTACCGTACATTGAAGAGGCCTGGGTTTATCGTTTCTTTAAAAGTTATGTCTCCTTTTTTGTCCCTGAAATTATGTTAAGATGTACTTGTTGCTTTAATGTTGTAAAAGTCAGTACTTTGCTTTGTGACGAGTACAAAACTCTTCGGCAGTGGTGTGCAGATTCTCAGGAGGATTTGCAGAGAGAGTCACACCGACAAAGCAGCATTAGGTTAGGTGGGGTTAAAAGGGCTCCTTCCTTTCTAAATCTGATGTGTAAGCATCCTTTTACCATCTGTGGTAAATGCAATGTATTGTTTTTATGTTTTAAGAATGGCTGGGAGTATCAGTATGAACGCAGGCAGTCCTTTGTCACAGAGGTGAGAGGAGAAATTGAATGCATTTCTGTTGCAAATTTGTGTTTAGTGTTTTTTTTTGGTGATTGTAATAAACATATCACAATGAATAACAAAATCACAGACATAATGTAGGTCAAATTGCAGTTTCGCAATCCTGTGAATTGCAAAGTAAATCCTTTCATATTTAATTGTACAGACGCAAAGACATCTTGTACAAAGACATGTAACCGTCTTCCTTTTGGTCCCAGTTTAACCTGGTGTGTTCAGATGGATGGTGGGTGGACATGAACCAGTCCGCTCTCAATTTGGGCTTCCTTATTGGCAGCTTTGCTTTTGGTTTCTTTGCTGACAGGTAAGGCATTGAATTATTTTCATAAGCACCTGTAGTCTCACATATTGGCCACAATTACACGTCCATCAGTAGTAACGCAGTTGTATTTGGCGGAGAGCTGACAGTCAGGTTGGTCTAGATTTACATGGCAACATCTATTAGTTAATTATTTTTTTAACCCTATTATGTTCATTCAAGCGTCTCTTATTTTGAAAGGAATCCTGGCCTCATCTCTTTCTTTTTGCAGGTTTGGGAGGAAGATCAGTTTCCTGGTGTCCAACGCACTGAACGCAATCGCAGGGATTGGTCTGGCTTTGACTCCGAACTACATCTCCATCCTGGTGTTGAGATGCATCTTTGGCTTCGGAGCCAAAGGAGGATGGATGTCCGCATATGTGCTGCGTAATGATGACTTTCTGTGTTTCCTAAAACTGAAGTTAACAAACACTCCAAGTCATATTCGGTAGAATTCTTAAAAGCTCTTGTACACGACGCCCCCAAATTTGGAGGCTCTCGGGCTTAGGGGGGGGTAGCAAATATCGTCCAAAAAATGCTCACATTGAGAGCGAATATTGTGCATGTATACATTTTATATACCGGATTAAACAGCAACATATGGGCAACACTATCATATAAGTCACTTTTTACACACTCCAAACACAACTTTACACTACTAATATAAGCAACTAGAAAATGTACCACAATATCACGTATTTCTGGCCACGAATCGGCGTTCTATGTACTGCGCTTCGATTTTCCAACAACAAGCTAACGGCTACACGGCCGATCAATACATCGCAGAGCATTAGAATTCAACACGGAATCCAGAGATACCTTCGGAATTTCTCTCCGTGAAATCAGTACAAAGCTGTGAGCCAACAACGCCAGAACAACACATTGTTGCTTCACCGGAAAAAATCATAGCCAGCACCTCACCTTTTCGTGAAGAATCACGAAAAGAACGGCACAATAATCTGGTTAACGGCTAAAAACATTGTTGCTAAGTACATCCTGTCTGTTTCTCATCTGTTTCCTGTAGAAGGGGGGTCAATCTAACTTGTGGGACCCGGGGGTGGGTGGTCAGACTTTTGGCGAATGGAATTTTACGTTTGGGGATGCGTGGCGCTTTTTGGACTTTTACTGGCTGACAGTTCTGTCAATCAACACCCGGCTTCGACTACCGCCTTCCTGAGACTCTGACGCGTCGAAGGCGGGCTCATTGACTGAAATCGACCGATGATAGGCTGAGCTAGACCTCCATACACACACAGCAACTGGAATTCAGACGAGAAAATCCCATGGATGAGAGCCAGAAACAGGCTCTGAGAGGACCCTGGCTCTCAAAATGATGCCAAACGGCTGTATTTGGATGTATTGAATAATATGAGTGATTAAAAAAAGTGAAATATATAGTTATATAGTATATAAAAGTACAATGTAAGAGCTGTAACATCTGGTTCCAAAATGACGACCTCGCGTGACCTCTCTGTACTAAAGCCTCTATAACCTTTCTTATTCTTCACTTTATCCCAGCCAAACTTTTTTGTGGGACTACTGACAGGTTGTGCTATGATTTGGGAGAGTTTTTAGGCTCTCAGCTGCATTATTTCAAAAACACAATATTTTTTTTCAGGCGAACCTGAATATTTTCATGTATTATATTAACCAGCAACATATACACAATATTTACCCATCTGAACAAATCTCACAAGTGTTATCTGAATTATAGCATCACAAATTATTAAAATAGACCTTGTAGTTACAGAATTGCAGTCTCTTTAGTATGGGTATGCCATTTTCGAGCAGAGGCCTAAAAATAGGGCTAGAGTTTATTAATAGTCTTTGAGAGAGATCTGTAAATCATTCATTTCTCTATGCAGGTTTCGTTTCGGTGAAATTAGTTCAGTTTTAACATGTTTCCTGTCTTCTTGTCAGTCACAGAGATAGTTGGAGTGGAGTACAGACGGACGGTGGGCATTTTGTACCAGATGTTCTACAGTGTCGGTGTCCTCCTCCTCCCTCTGCTGGCCTACTTTATCACTGACTGGCGCTCGCTGCAGCTCGTCATCTCCGTCCCCTACATCCTCTTCCTCTCCTACTACTGGTGAGAAAGCTCACATTCATTCCAGAATCAAATATAGTCCTGTCCCTCACGCTCTTTAATGACTGTATTTTTGCACTTTGTCAAAATAAAGCCATAAAGTAAGAGCACATGCTTTAGTTTTTTTTGGTTCTCACTAAATCTCAAGTGTCTTTCCTCAAATTTATCACAATGAACAAATCACCTTGCCATTATTTGTTCATCACGAGCGCTCCAACCTTGGATTTGCCGCCGGTAATCATTTGAGAGATGTTCTTTGTTATCTCATACCTGCTCCTAAAAAAAGATTTAAATGTTGAACATGTCGTCCAATGTCAGAGATTTTTTGAGCTGTCGCACAGTGTCCCCGGTGTGAAGAAACACATTAGACTGAGAAAGAGACCAAGCTCAGATCGTCCATCACAAGCAGGTGTGTTGTTGAACAGGTTCTGAGATTTCTGTATCCGTCAAATGTTTTGTGTCTCAGGTTTATCCCAGAGTCTCCGAGGTGGCTCATCTCTCAGAACAAGTCTTTCAAAGCTCTGGAGATCACTAAAGCTATGGCTAAGGACAACAAGAGGAAACTCAACAACACTGTGGTAAATCGATACATCTCAATTCTCAAGAAAGGAAACACAAATACTTGTACAAATACTTAGTTCGAATGTACTAATTTAGTGTCACAACTGGATCACGATTACTTGTTTCAGACTCTGACCGACGAGGAGGGTGACTCGCCCTCTGCCTCTCTGTTGGACCTGGTCAGAACTCCAAACATGAGAAAACACACTTTCATCCTCATGTTCAACTGGTGAGAGTCATCTGAAATCACAGGTTTGTTTGGCCAAAAAATGGAGCCGACATTGAATCTTCTGGTTTCTCTTTCAGGTTCACCACCGCTGTGGTTTATCAAGGCCTCATCATGCGTGTGGGGATAGCAGGAGGAAACGTCTACATCGACTTCCTCATCTCTGGCCTGGTGGAGTTCCCTGCTGCCTTCCTCATCCTCTTCACCATCGAACGCATCGGCAGGCGCATTCCCTTCGCCTCCGCCAACATCGTAGCAGGAGCCGCCTGCTTTATCACCGCCTTAATCCCTGACAGTGAGAATTACTCTTTGTCAGTGGAAAGAACCACAAGATAATGCCAAAGACCTGCATCATTATAAATCTAATAAAAGTCAGCACAGATGTTCTATCTAAAAAAATAAAAAGGTTGAGTTTCAACTTTCTAAATATGCACACGATCCTGTAAATGCTCTTTTGTCTCCGTGCCTCAGACATGTTCTGGTTCAAGACGGTGGTGGCCTGCATCGGTCGGCTGGGGATCACCATAGCCTTTGAGATGGTGGTGTTTGTTAACACCGAGCTCTACCCGACATACGTCAGGTGAGGACAGACTGACACACTCCATATTCACGACACAGCAGCTCTGGTATCAACACGTTCTCACTCCCAACTCGTCCTCTAGTGTCAGATTTGGACGTTTCGGGGATGGCATATCAAGTTTTCGCTTCTTTCAAAATAAACTTTCAAAGTAGGCTTAAGTTTAAGGTTTACTACAAAAGTACTTGGTTAGGCTGAGGAAAAGATTGTGCTTGGGGTTAAAATAAGTATGTTTGTTACGTAAAATAAGTAAGCTTGTTACATAACTGGCGTGACTAAAGAACGGAAATTACGTAATACAGAATTTTGGTAAAATAAGTAAACATGGACTTGGTGTCACATGGGACACTAACAGGGGTCTCCTGGGTGAAAGTTCTGTGTTTGTTTGACCTGTCTGACCCCACATCCCACCCTCCCTACACAGACTTTCTCACTTTTTACACTATCTCAGTTGCTCTGAGAGTCTAGTAATGACATATGTGGGTTTACAGTGGAGTTAGTTGAAAGCCCGGAGTGTCAAATACAGTAGCTAAAGAGTGCGTCGCTATCGGACTCCGAGGGACACCGACCAAGCGGCGGTATTTGGCGAGTTGTGAGTGAGAACGGGTTGCTGGAATTTACAGTGTAATTGCTAAATGTTTGTTAATTGGATTAACAAAATACAGGAACCTCGGCGTGTCAGTTTGTTCCAGTCTGTGTGACGTCGGAGGCATCGTAGCTCCCTTCCTGCTCTACAGACTGGCGGTCATCTGGCTGGAGCTGCCGCTCATCATCTTCGGTAGGTTGTGACACCGCCACAAACGTGAGCGGAGGGGTATACATACGGTATATGAATTAGATGTTGGTGTACTCTATCTTTGTCACCCATGCTTTTATTTAGTTGCCATATAGTCTCATAAAGCTAACGCTGGTCAAGTGATCGGTGGCTCCAGGATCAAAGGTGTAAGGGGTAGACAGAGTTTTTGGAGTTGGATTAACCTTGTGGACTTTACAATTATTGCCTTGTGAATCGATTTAGTAGGTGATGTTGTCTTCATAAATTGTGTTAAGCATACATTTGAATCTCCATTTAGTTCATTCTTTTAGTGTTGTCAGGGGGCTCCAACGGCACACAAATTCTTTGAATTTCCTCATGTAACCACATCTTGCATCCAGATGATTGTTCAAAGGTTTCTGAAAAGGCACCAAATGTGTGCACATCCATGCAAAGATACTCGGGTGCAAGACACAGGCCTGTACACTGTTGGGCTCCAAATAGATATATTATTTCTCTTTTCTCTTTCATCTTGCAGATCGTAACGTTGCCATGAAAAAAGTGAAATAAACAATTTATTTGGAGCCTCCTTTGTGCCCTACAGTTATAGGGTTTCTGACATTATTAATTGCTAGTAATTTATTGTGGCCTTGAACATTTTAATACTGCTGTGCACTGGTGGCCCAAGGAATCCCGTCATCAGGCTAATGCCGACTCTGATCGTGTAAATTGTGGAGGACAAGATTGAGATGTTATTGCTTATTGGAATGCCCCTACACAAAATGATTAATTTCAAATTGACCATTACATTCAGTAGATCTATTTTTCTGGTAACAGACTTAATCTATTAGTTGATTGAAACTGATGGATTTTAATCTTATTATCCTGTGATGCTCATCCTTTTCTCATCCTTTGAGAAAAACTTGTCGGCTGAATTATTGAAGCAATATGGCCAAAAGATAGAAGATAACAAAAAAAATCATGAACTCAATTAGCTTAAGTCTGTCCCTTAAATATCTTTGTGGTACTTGATTATTTTGCTCAACCCATCTCAGAAAGGCAGCCATTTTAAAGATAAACTTCCTGAAGTGTAAGTTTAGAGTTGCTGCCTGAATAACATTTTAAATTAGAATTCAAAGTTTTGATGATAGCAAATTTAAGCTAGTTTTAAAGTTTGGTGCAACATGATTTGCAGTTGAACCATGATTCAATCAGGTTTAGAAATGAATCCTTGTTGGTGCAACCCAGCCTAAAGCTTTTCATTTATGCAGGGGTGGTTGCGTTGATAGCTGGAGGTTTGGTGTTGCTCCTGCCTGAAACCAGAGGAGTTCCTCTCCCCGAGACCATTGATGATGTTGAGTTTCCTAACAGGTGAGAAATCTCTCCCAACACTCCCAAAACGTTTCATCACTCAACACAACACATCGAGAGTGTTAGATTATTATGTGTGTGATGTTATTGGACCAACAAATGTATTGTTAGGTAGCAGTGGTGTATAGTAACGAAGTAGAAATACTTCGTTACTGTACTTAAGTCGTTTTTTTGGATATCTGTACTTTACTTTACTATTTATATTTGTGTTGACTTTTACTTTTACTTCACTACATTTTGCAAAGAAAACTGATACTCTGATACATTTCCCCTGAAACCGTCGTTACTCGCTACAAAATCAAATCTATCTTTAGAAAAAAATGAATCATGAGACCAACTGTGGTGGAATACAGACTGCAAGCAAGCAGGTTTGGTGAATCAGTGGTCCTAGCTTGCAAGTTAAATCATTGTTTAATCACGTTAATGCGCAATTGCAAACAAGTGCTCTCAAAGCGTTGCGTTGATAGCGGGAGGTTTAATTCCCGGCGGTGTTTTAATTCCCAGTGATGCCCAGGATGCTAGCCAGCGAGTGACTACATGAGTAGAATTCCACTCTACGATGACTGATTTCATGATGGAAGCAGAAATGGAAGCACCCGCTACTCCCGCAACAAACTACGGTGGTGACGATCCAACACCCGTGGCCAGGGGCGTTTCTAGGATTCAAAGAAAGGGGGGGCTTAGCCCTAAGGGGAGTGGCATTTTTGCGCATGTAGGCAATTTTTTTTGGGGCCTATTTGGGGCCGTGGATATCCATTGTTTGTTTCAGACAGTTCATAGATTGGTTCAATCAGAAAGAGTGTAATTTTGCTCTGTAGTTTTGCTTGCATTCAGTATATGATGACTCAAGAGACAGAATTTCAGGGTCATAGTGAAATTTCACAACACAAATATGAACTTTTCTCAAATAAAGAGAGAAATAATTTTCCTGCTTGTAAAGGAAAGATGGATAAACTAGCTTTCATGTCCGCGTCACTCCCAAATCCTAATTCTTAAAGGGACCGCACGGAGAATGGACCTGACAGTGTCAACTTTACATCGTTAAGTATGATGATAGGCTGTTGGATTGTAATTTAAAGGGGGATAAAACATACAAACCAGAACGCACGCACATATGTAGCATGTTAGTTATAAATAACTTGTCCATGTGAGAAACAATAGTTAAATTTAATGACATCACCAAAATAACATTTTTTTTATCTTTATTTTATTTATTTTTTAATCCAATAATAATTCAGCCCCCCTAAAATAGGCCTAACGACACCCCTGCCCGTGGCCATATTTGCGATAAATGTTTTCTTATGTTGGAGTGAAAGATTCTTCATACCAGATGAAGTGCCTCTTATGCTTACCCAAAGCTACTGAAATATTGACATTCAAAAACTCCCCATCCAACCTCAGGAAACACATTTAGGTAAATTAAGATGAATCCCGTGAGCCACAATGTTAATGTTTAGTTATCATAATTAGCATAAACCTGTTAAGATATCTAACAGTGTTTCCCACAGGATTGGAGTATATCTTTGGCGGGGGAGACAGGTGTCTGATCTTCTAATTTAGCTATACATGGTGTATGTTAGCTAACGTTCGCTAGCTATCGTAAATCAAATGAGACAATTAGTGTAGTAGACAGATCGCTAGCGAGTTAATGAGCTGAGGAAGTGTTGACAGTTGTGAGATTTTGTTGATTTGAGTCATCTTAGCTATAATCATTGCAGCACTAGTTGGCTAACGTTAGCTAACTTAACGTTAGCCAGCTACCGCACCATAGGATTGACAGGAGCCACGAGAGCGCAGCATTACGATTTGAACCGCGTCGGAGTTGGAGATGCATGCCAGTGTGTAGCAAGTGGGGCTAGCTAAAGTTGTTATGATGGTAGCAGTCGCCCAATTGCAGATTCAGCTTGAGCAAAACCTTTGCCTATTGTGTTCAAATCAGGCCCATAGGAGTTTACAAGGCAGGTGTCCTTTCTCAAAACACTGACCTGATGCATCAAGTGGATATTTTTTGCTGAACACAATATTATGCATTTGCCCTCTACATCCTCTAGTCGGAATGAGCATACTTATAAACGCACTGTTACAACTCCTTCATAGTGTCATATTGCTTTTCGGAGAATTATGATGCATGTTCATAGCAGATGCAAAAGTATACTTATGTACAATATATTATGTTGAACATTGTTGCTCCTGGATGGATCACAGCCAACCCAATTATTTTCAACACAGCTCCATGTCCTTGGTCATGGTGCCACAGCACTTAAAAGAATAAACTTCATAATTCTCAAAATTCTGACCCTTTGCTTTTTTATTAACAGCATTTACTTGTACTTTTACTTTCAATACTTAAGTACATTTAATATCAGAAAATTACTTTTGATACTTGAGTACAGTAAATATCAGATACTTTAAGACTTTTACTCAAGTAGTATTCTAATAGGTGACTTTTACTTTTACTGGAGTCATTTTCCAGTAAGGTATCTTTACTTGTACTCAAGTATGGCTTTTGGGTACCTTATACACAACGGTAGTGACATAAATAGCAATACATGCTATTAGCTGATTCGCTGAACAAATACTGTAGTACTTTAAAACTGCAAGTACATTTTCTTTATTTACTTTACACCACTGACAAACTTGTTTTTTATAGGTGTCATTTAATGAAGTAACTGATGCTTCATTTTAGAGTAAAATTGCAAAAATGTCAATGAGTGTAAGAACAATTATCTGAATATAATAAAATCTTAATGAGTGATTCACCTGAATCAAATTTGACATGTAGTAATTAATGCAACGTTTTCTATTTACTAGTAATTATTAATTATATGTGTGTTTTTGTTCCCAGGAAAAAAGAGGACGTGGCGGAGAACCAACAAATGGAGAAACCTTTAAAAACAGACTTGACAAACAACAAGGAAGCAACAACTGTATGACTGACTGAGTGCACATAGATGTGTGTGTGTGGACTTATTCACTGTGATACAACAAAAGTTTTTTTTTATTTTTTACAAACATTTTCTTTAAATCATGACTTCTCAATTTTCTTTTGCATTCAGTTTTATTGTTCAACTCTTACAGAAAACAAAGCAGGAACATGATCTGCTTATTATGTTTCCACCACAAAAACACCTGTTAATATTAGATACTACCAGACTAACTTAAGTAGTCGTGCTGGGGCAGAACAGTTCCCGCACGTTATATTATTATTATTATACTTATATTATTATAAGTATCTTCAAAAAGCACAATGAACCGTCACTTTCTGATTGTTTCTCATTAATTGGCTTTGATGGTTCTGTCGATCCACTCGACAAACTTGGAGACTCGGGCGTAGACGCCGGGCTTCATGGCATTGGCGCAGCCCAGGCCCCATGATGTCACACCCTGCAGGATGTACCTGTTCTGGGAGTTGCACACCAGAGGGCCGCCGCTGTCACCCTGCAGGGAGAACAAATGTCATGGTTGTCAGTTCAACTGCTGCCAGAACATTTATTGATCTACAAGTGACACTGATATGGAAAATGTATATCCACCAACCGATGGAGATATTTACAAATAATTCAAGATATATTTCTAAAAGACGCCATCTTTCTTAGTTTAGCTGCCAATTCTGCCAGTAGAGACTTCCCTCTGGTGGCGCCTGCTGTGCGCTACATCACATCTGTATTTATGAGGTTTTGGAAAATCATACAGTCTGGATTTCTAAACACCGTGGTATATACGGTAATACCACCCAAACCTACTATACAGTTTTTCTAGAAATCTTCCCCAGTATCCATAATTTAGTTTGTGGGTTTCGTACCTGGCAGCTGTCTGTTCCTCCCTCGATGTTACCAGCACACATCTCGTGGTCTTTGACTCTGCCGTTCAGGTACGACGGACGATTGCAGATCTTGTTCTCGATCACAGGGAATCCAGTTTCCTTCAGGACGCCATCACCCCCCGTACCTGCAACACACCGCCACACATTTATTCAGGTTCAGAATATCTAGTGCATCTCTTAATTCAACTAGAACTAATGCATTGTGGTCGTATGCCTCCGCCCACCAGTGAAGTTGCAGTTTACATCCATGTCTGTCCAAAGTGTCATTCCTTCATTATTTTATCTGATTAGACATTTGTGTTTAATTGTCATAATTAGCATAATGAATTCTTGAGTTATGGCCAGAAAAGCGTGTTTTGAGAGGTCACAGTGACCTTTGACCTTCACATTCTCTTCAGTCTTTCTTTGCAAGTGGAAGTTTGTGCCAAATTTGAAGAATATTGCACAAGGCATTCCCGAGGCATAAAAAGCAACACAAGATAAAATATGTTAACTTTGGCTTGTATCTGAAATAATTTATAATTATTGGGCTTCTATTATTTGTCACCTTTCGACACTACAAAATTGATGAAGATCTGAAAACAGTCCTTGCCTTAAAGAATCGGTAGAGTGAGCTATTAGTCACTGAAGGCTTTTAACTTGATTTAAGAGAAAAATACTGTCTGTTTACTCTTATTTTAGTCTTTAAGCAAAAAACAACAACTCATTAATGTGGAAATTCTACTCACTTTTCAAAACAACCCTACTCTTGAACTAGTCCTCTCAATGACATAGTAGTACAAGAGCGCACACACACACACACACACACACACACACACGACGTACTGTTACGTACCTTGAGTTTCACCCCATCCGGTAACATAACACTCAGTTCCACTGGGAACAATGTAGTCATTCTCTGGCAGACAAACTGGCAGGACTTTGTCATTTATTAGTGCCGGGCTGAAAGCACAAAAGAAGTACTCAGATCTTCTACTTAAAAATAGCAATACCACAGTGTAGAAGTACTCTGTGACAAGCACAAGTAATGCATTCAACATGTTGTAGTTGAATACAAGTATTAGCATCAAGTTATCATGCAGTATAGCCCATTTTAGAATAATGTATATGATATTATTAGATGATAATATTGATGCAATAATATGTTCATCACTTTATAGTTGCTGCTGGTAAAGGTTGGGGTTATTTTATTCATTTTAGGGGTGTTGTGATATACTGATATTGACGATAAATGTGATATTTAAAAAAGGAAATATTGATATCATGTTAATAACACACAAGTGATAACATTGTGTGAATAACCCTGCACCTCTTAAATTATTTCATATTTACAGTTATGGTTACAGACTCTTCACTCTGATTTTTTGAGTGTAATATAAAAAAAGAGACCAAACGCACAATAAACTAAACTAAAGATGAATTTGACTGATTATTATTATAAATTTTTTCTGTCCAATTTTTTTATAGAAATTGCGCCAATATCGTTACTGTGAATTATTTTCTTGTGTAGTAAAAAGTACAATATTTACCTCTAAACTGTAGTGGGTTAGAATAGAAGTACAGTAAAAAATGTAAATACTCAACATACCTCAAAACTTACTTGGTTACTTTCCACCACTGCGTAGCAATAGTGAGTAAAGGAAGGATGGTTGTACTAGCTGAACAAGTGTTAGCGATTGTAGGTTGATCAGACTCACCTCTCCAGTTTGAGCAGAGCGATGTCGGCTCCATTGGGTCCCAGTATCAGTTTGTTCAGGTTCTTCTCTTGTTTGGACCGCTCATTGGCTCTCTCTGTGTGGACACCCAGGAACACCTTGTAGGCCGAAGGCCGTTTGGACCTACAGTACACAGCACATCTATAAATACACTAACTAGTTTTTGGTCTTTAGATGTGTGGTTTTCAAAAAAAAAACATTCTTCTGACCTCTCCAGGCAGTGTGCCGCAGTAAGGACCCACTGAGGGTCAATCAGAGTTCCTCCACAGAAATGTATCCCCGTGCTGGTAGAAAGAGACACAGAAATGTATTTAAGTGGGACAAAAGAGAGTTATAAGATCTTTTTTAATACGTGATTTCAATAGTTAGATCTTGTTTATCTTGTTTGTGTATTTTATTTATTCCAAGGCAGTAATGTAACAATGCATGTTTCTATCCTTTAACAGGCTGTTGGATCAACCTGCCTTTAAAGGGATAATTAGGATGTTACAAAGTGGGGTTGTATGAGACTTATGCATAGTCAGCGTACAGTGGACGAACAACGTAATTTTACCTCACAGAATACCAGAGTTGCTTGTCAACCCCCGCCTCGATCGGTTAGTTTGTTTGTGTTCGTGCGTGACTTTTAATAAATACAAACTAACACCAACGTCACCTCATGCTACAAACTATGTTAAGACGGGTAAACCCACAAAGAAAAACAGACTCAAATGCACGACCCAGAGAGCAGGATCAGGTGCAGTCTTTACATATCAAACAGGTTCGGTAAACAGGAGATCCTTCAGGTAATAAGGTAAACAAAGCAGGCAAGGATGAGACAAAAAAACTAAGTCTGGAATATCAGGCAGAGATTAGAAAAACCTGGAAGACTAACACTGGGAATATTGCTGGAAGGGTTGACTCGGGGGGACAAAGATGAACTGGCACAGAGACAGGGCATCACACAGAATAAACACACAGGGGAGTTGAGGATGATTAGACACAGGTGTATCCAATCGTGGGCGGGGTAGACAATCACAAAGGCAGGGAAAACACACAAGGGCAGGAAGTGAAATATCTGATACGAGAGGAGAGGTGAGTAACACAAAATAAAACAGGAAATAATGAAATCTCAAAATAAAAGTAAACACAACCTAAGGAGCAGGACGAGACATGACAAACGATCCATTTAAGCTGCGTCGATTCACAAGTCTAGATTTGACTTGTGATAGTTTTCTCTTGAACTGTTGAAGAAAAACCCATTCAGCATAATAGTAACTGGGTTCACTGGGTTTGGTGATTTTGACACTAATAAAAGAGGGTCATGCTCTGTGAAATATGGGTTTTATTTTGCTAATTAAAATCAATTACGATTTTCCAATATCTAAATACCACAGTCCAATTATTAAAATATTGGTTATTGTCAGCCCCAGTTTGCGCCTCCTGTGTATTCGCACACATTCCGGTCACAGAGGTTAACATCCATTTCTCTGAAAGGCAATGTTTGAAGAACCCAGAAGGTCGTTTTAAAAACATGTACCGCAGTTTTGAATGTATTTCAAGAATCCTTAAAGACTCTTCAAACTACTTGAATGGAAAAAAATATTCTGCTGAATAAAAAAAATTGTTATTTATGTGACCACATGTGTGCCAATACATGGGGTCAAACTGGGGCTGGGTCACGTTTTGCATCAGTACAAAAACGGCATCTTATTTTTAAAAAAAAAAAAGCCAGTTTCACATATACTTTTCTGATATATCGCAAATGTCGTACAACCCTTGGAATCATAATTCGGTATTATTCTACTCACTTGGTCCGAAGGCTGATTTGCCAGGGCCACGAGTAAGCTTTAGACACGCAGCCTCCTACGATCCGACCAAAGCAGCGCTTTGGTTTGGTGACCGGCGTCCCACATTTCAATCCAGCTGCAAAATAAAGTTCACGGTCAGGAATTCATACTTTTGAATTGGTATCATTTAAAAAGACTAAAAGTTAACAGCCATTGGAAAAAGGTATGACCTGAGGGTGGAGCCAGAAAAGCCATGTTAAATCAAAACACTTTATCCTCTTTACCGTTGCCATCTTAGCATGCAAGACACGGCTCTACATGTTCTAAGTTGAATCAGCTTTCATCAGTCTAACTTACACTTTTCCGAGCTCTGGTGAACTTAGACTCATGCTATGCTGGGAGCTGAATAACTTCTGAACCAAGGCTGCATATTTCCATTTTCTATTCATGTGTTCAAGTTCAGGTTATTTATGATCAATTAATAAGTCTATAGTGTCAAAAGATACATTTGTAGAAATGTCTCAAGGACAGAGGTGATGTCCTCTAATTGCTTAATTTTTCCCAAAACTGAAATAGATTATATTATTCATTACTCATCATCTATTCTAAAGTGTCACCTTCACAAGTTGTTATTTGAAATAGTTGATTGGTTCCAGACTTGTGTGTTACTTAATGTCAATGAGAAGACGACTAGAGTGGACCTGAGCTGGGCTGGTCGGACCAGGCAGCCGAGTGGGCAACACGCGACTGTGGAAAGCTAATCGGGTCCACTGGGGTTCAGGTAAGGACCGCATCCTTTTCTTGTTGATTGACAACCAGGGCAGTTTTGTTGTTTAACCTTTTTGCATCTTTAGAATGCTAACATTAACATGATGACATGGACTTGATTAAGATGGTAAAATAACAATATTTATCCATTAGTGATTTGTTAGAATACTAATGTTTGCATCCATCTCAAAGTACTTCTGATGCTGACAAGAATGAGGATAAAAATATTTTGACCTTTTTGTGGCAATAAATGACAAATCAATGGGATTACAAAAGTCAGTAGGATTTATCCTCTGGAGACAATGAATGTTTGCACCAGTGTTAATGGCATGATGGAGATATTTTATATCTGGCCTGGGAACGCCTCAGGGTTCCCAGGAAGAGCTGGAAAGCGTTGCTGGGGAGAGGGACGTCTGGAATACCCTGCTAAGCCTGCTTCCCCCGCAACCCGGTCTCGGATGAGTGGAAGATAATGGATGGATGGACTATGGATACATTTCTACTGACAGACCAACCTACTGTCATCCTCACTATTAGCGTTCACATACCACAGTCGGGGATCTGGCAGTAGTCCCATTTCTTGTTCCTGTCAGTAGTGTAGCACCACGGCCCGTTCACATCGCCATCTGGGTTTCTGCATTTCTGTTTGTGTCACACAAGGACAGAATCTTTTAACTAAAAACACTAATTATTACCCCCCTTTATCATTTAAGCTACTAAGAGCAACAGTGCACTCCCTGTGGACAAAAGAAATCCTCTCATTTTACTGCAGCAGGGTCTGACAGTCTGCGCCCGCGCAGTCCAGAGTGAAATGTCATCACTGCACAAGTTGACGATTCAAAATGGTTCATACAGGAATGCACACACTTACATTGCCCTCCAGACCCCTAGTGGGGTGACTTTGTGCGGTGAAGCTGGTGTGTTGGTGAGGGCTCTGAGCACTCCAGGCCTGGCAGGTCACACCCAGAACGGTGATGGAGGTTGGACCCCGGTATGCAGCTCCATTTCCAGTCTTACAGTCTAACACAGCAAAAGACAGAATGTGTGGACAAAAATAGGATAAAACGAGCTAAAAATCAGACAAATGCCCAGTTAAAAATAATTTACCACTCTGTGGTGGGGTCTGGGTGGGGGTTGAAGGGCCCTGGGGATTCGGAGTACTGGGTGTGGTGTTATCTCCCGAAGGATTAGTGGAGCATTTCTCCAAGTTGCAGTACTCCCAGCGGACACTGGGGTCCGTAGTGTAACACCAAGGAGCTCTGTCGCCGTCCGGATTCCTGCACAGATTCCTCCTGAGGTCTCTGTTGAAAGAGAAAACCTGGAACTTCAGGTCAGCAGTAACCAATATCCTACTAGGTTTTATATTCTACTTCTAGAATCAAACCTGAAAGGGACCAACTAATTATCTGTTGCCTTGTTTGTGTTTTATACAATATTGGCAATGCCACCAGGGGGCAGGATTTGCCTCAGACTTTAGTAGCTAAAGACTGCTGCAGGAATAAATCCTAAATCCCGTAAATGAGTTCGGCACTTCTACACTCTAAAAGTCGATTGGTTTGTTGAATGGGTGTTTGTTCAGATGCCTGAAATAAGGTCTCTGGTTAATACAAGCGGAAGAGATTTTTAACTTTTGTTCTACGAAATAAAAGTAAATTCCCCTCTTGTCAATTTTGAAGCTTTAATGTGTCTTAAAAAAGACGGTTGCTAACAAGTGGCTAAGTGAGACTAAACCTCATCACTTCAACACATTTTCTCCTTTAGCTTAATAGTGGTGATGTGAAGTCATGTGACCGTGGTGTTGATTGCCTAACAATAACTTTCTCATTCTGCCGATTGCATTCTTGCTTCAAAAATTGTAAAGCTTGTCTTGCTGGACAAAACGTTTAAGTTTTATGAATTGTTTGCCACAGAGCTTATTTTCTGCAATAATTCAAAATCGAATGGAGAAATCCCATTGGCTTTCTGTTGAGGGAACCAGGGCGATGGAAACTTTCGGGTTGGCCTACAAAAACACGTCATCCCTGCCGCTATCTATAACTAGTGAGGTGGAGGTTGCCTAACCAGATGGATTGTACAGTAATGTGTAGCTTGCTCTGACCAAATACCCAAATTCTCCTCTGAACTCGAGCTTTCATGAGGTTGATACTAAATCATTTGCCTGAAATGTTCAGGCCT